GAAAGAGAAGCTAAGAAAAATCGCAAATTTCAAACAAGATGTATCCAGATAGCTAAGGAAATTTTTCATGAGGAGCCGATAATTGAGTATCACCCCTCTTTCATGCAAGGACTAGAGCTTGATGCCTTCTTCCAAAAATATCAAATTGCATTGGAGGTACAAGGGGCTCAGCATCGGTTTCATAGCACCAGCTGGTATAAAGATGTCAAAAAACTCGAAAACATTGTTAATCGTGATCGGCAAAAACGATGTATATGTCAAGATAATGGAATTTCCCTTCTTGAAGTATGGTACGATGAAAAACCGGAAATCGTTATTCCTAAAAGGATCCAAAAAATTAAGGAATTTTGTTTGTCTAGCATCCAAAAGTTTTGATATCCTATAATCAATAATCTTATAATACACGCAAAATTGGGCTTCCCGATCTTTGTATTTATTTTTTTGCGCTAGTGCTATATAAAATGCGCCGAAATTTAACCGCGCCTATACGCCAGCCTATAGAAATCAGTCATGTGAAGTTAATAAATGCGACAGTCGCGTATGATCGGCTGATCTAAAACAATCCAAACTGCTAACAGTTCTACTCTACTATTTACACAAAGCGCAAACATGTCCGATTTAAAATTAAGATCGCCTGAATATTTCCAACATAATGAAGACTGGAGCTTACTGGGTTATTTGGAATACCGCAAGACTCGAGAAGATTTTCGATCAAATAAAGCAGATGAACACTTCTTTTATGCCAAAAATCTTAAGTATATAGCTGAAGAACACGAAAATAAGAAACACCGCGAAAAAGCAGAGAGGTATCTCAATGAATTTTATGTAAGTACAATAAACCAAATTATAGTAGGCTGAGGTGGGTGGGTTCAAGTACTAGAGCACATTCGTTAAGTCGATTGCGCTGACAAACCCCAAATAACCAATAACTACGGTGACTTGGGAATGGCTACGGGCTTTTTGGGTGTATTTGAATAGGGTACGACCTATTGACATGTCGCGACAAATGATCACGGTTGTTTGTTGTCAAGCTACGGGCATGGCATGTTCCGCTCAATCAGTTTATATCACAAATAACACAGTATAAATCATTAATCTCCGACGCATATTCTAACCTATTTTATTTACTTTATTTCGACAAGTCTAACCAAAAGCTTTCATCAGTAAATTCGTTTTGGTTATCGATTTGCCAGAATAATTACGAGGAAAGAATCGAACTTGAGAAGGTCAGTGAATTATTGTTTATAATTTCAAGTATTTCAAAAACTGACTTAATATTATAAGCAGTTAAGACATGCCGAAAATACAATACGTGCCGTAAATGAAGAAACAGAAGAAGTTCGTTCCGTTTCATCCTCTGAAACTGGGGTATTGTTAAAACGTAAGAGACAAGATGATATAAATTGTTTTGATAAGGGGCTGACAAACGAAACCGTTGCAAAACTCCGGAAAATAAGGTATTTGTAGTTTTTCTATAACCCATAATAAAAATGTCTTCTCACATTTCGGAGGTGCTTGTAGATACGAATCACTAATGGAACGGTAGTGGAAGAGTCCTCCTCTAATTCCCTTATGAACATCTCCTCCGGGACTTCTTTAACGCGACTATCTTATACCGAATTCCAAGTAGTAAACGAAGAAACTGGTAGCGAAATAAAGTCTATTGATGATGATGAGACTTCTTTAACGCAACTATCATCTTATACCGAGTCCCAAGTAGTAAATGAAGAAACCGATAGCGAAATAAAGTCTATTGATGATAAAATCTCGCCTAATCCCTATACGAACATCTCCTCTGAGACTTCTGTCAAAGTGGATTCACCTTTGGCACTGGCAAAAGAAGTAGGGGACAAAAGCAAACAAACATCGAAATATATCAACCGAGATATAGCATCAGAAGCTCTGAAAGCATATCAGATGGAAGTCTTAGCGGGTAAAAAATTAATATATGAGGGCGTGGATGTGTTAGATTCGGCTCGCTCAAATATGAATATGAAATCTAAGACAGCAAAAAGCCCTATCTGTATTGGTGTTATTAACATCCATAATCCAGACTGTACCAAGTTTTTACCAGAAAATTTTAAGCGCTTTGTTGCAAATCAGCTCATAAACCATGAAACTAAAGACATTCAATTTGCTAATGAACGAAAAATTGCTAATTTTGCGGTTGATTGTGAAGAGGAAGTGTTGCACTTCTTGGAGAAGTTTGATCATGTGGAGAATTTGAAGTCTCTTGGAGAATGTCTTGATGAAAATCCGATTAACCATTCCTCTGCAACGAACGACCTCATTTACGTACAGAATCTTTTCAACCATTTCTTTTTCTTATACAAAAACGATATTTTGCTACAGTCTATATCTGAAAGCGAATTTAATGCATACGTATGGACCCCGCTACTTAAGAATGCATTCCTAGGAAAGGATGATCTGAAGTTAAGTTGTGGAGAATTGGCGTCAAATTCGTACGAAAAATTAAAGGAGATCTTAGATATTGGTGGTCGCAGTGCACCAAGATTAGATGGTAAAGGGCTCCTAAAAGCATTGGGCACCGAAATTCTTGTTCAGGAAGACGGTGTCCTTAATACTCGCAGTAAGAGGAAAGGCGATCTCAAAAAGTTGGAATACTGTTCGAAGGTGATCCTTACAACCTTATTTTTTGCGTTACCTTCTGAAGCAAAAAATTATATCACAAAAATTGAGACCTACAGTATTCAGTCAAACGGGTTTCGCCTCTCGATCTCCGTATCAAAATATTTATTTGAGAACACCATCATCATGATGGACTTGCAAGATGTAGAAGTTCCGAGAACTGTGGAAGGATTCTCAAAATTGATAATGGCCGTGAAGGTAATTCTTTCCTGGAAAGCTCGAACTAGAAAGAACACCATGGAATTCTACAAGGCGCTAAAAAAAGGTCACAAACGTCTGGAAAATGGGTTCAATTTTTCTCCAAAAAAGATGATTATATAGTAGGTTATACGGGTTGATTAAAATAAAAGCATAAAATCAATGTTATCTATATAATAAAATTATAATAATAAAGTTTTCAATGATCGCATTAGTTTTTTTATATAGCACGTTATATTGTTTTTTTCCGAATGGTGGTAGCGAATTCAGACTTTTACTAGTAACTAAAGATGATTTATATTACGTAATTTTCCCGTGAAATCGATCACCTGAAATGCGCAGAAGGATATTTGGAAAAATTCTTGCCGACATATCATGTGCAGTAAGACGTCATTGGCTCATGTGAATTATATCCGC